ATTTTTAGCCTTGACTTGCTAAAAGGTTCTTACAAAATAAATATTTTGTAGAAGGATAGGTGGATATGGACAATGGATTGCCCTGCATGCAAAAGGCTTGATTTGAAAACAATATTTCATTTAACTAGAGCAAGCCAACTTTTGGAGATGGTGCTTTTTGGTAGAAGTCTGAAAAATACCAAAAATCTTACAAAAAAGCACAAAAGGAAACTAGTTTACTCTAAACAGTTTGCAGTGGTCCAATGTTATTTCTCACTTACCTTATGCATTCCGAGCATCCTAATTATTCACCGAGATGAGTTTGTAAACCCTTTTCACAACTTTCAGAGTGGACTTTTGCCATTACAATAAAATGATAACCTTCACTTCCTGATTATTTGACAGTAAAATGTTTTATAATTAGACACAGCCAGTACACAGCAGACTTATTTTGACCTCAAGAGCTGCTTATACAATATGTGTATATATTGGGGCAAGACAAATATTTCTCAAATACACAGGAAAAGAAAATCACATACAGGGCCTTTTTTTTTGGCATTTCGCCCTAATGGTATATTGAAACATTGTTAAGAGTCCAGAAGAATCCGTTTAGCATATTCTCACCCTTTTATGAACTGACCAATGTAAAAAAGTGTCAGAAAAAAGCGTCAGACTTAATCAATTCTGCCAGCTCAGCATCTGTTCTTGTTTGGAGCAGGTCGGTCACCCATCCATCTCCTTCTATGTGTTTTTCTGTGGAGTGTGGATTCAGCAGCATTTTTACAGTGTGTGCGCAGTGGCAGTGAAGACAGCGACAGCCTAGCACCTGTGAGTTTAGTGCTGTCAGCAGCCAAGTCTATAATACAGTTGGAATAACACTGCACATTCAGTGACAGCGTGCCATAACTCTGTTTAAGAACTCATTTGTAACTTTTAAGGATTTGCTTCCCTCTAGACTAGAGAACTGCAAACCTGAAAAGAAACTTGAGGCCAAAGTTGTATGCATCTTCTTATAATAACATTTTCCCCCCAAGATATGGTAATCTACAATTATCATGGGGATTTAACTGTAATTATAACAAAGATGATTGGTTTGTAGTAGCTGTACAAAATAAGATAACAATGAAATATGTTTTAGTATTTTTATTATTATTTAATACACAGTAGTCTCATTACTTAATCCAGATAAACCTATTATTGAGCCACAAGGGACACAGTAGCTCACATTACAAATATAAGTATATTTCTTAAACAGTGCACTATCTTTTCCAGTGGAAGGGCCATTATCTGCGTATTTCCAAAGAGATGGCATTGCTTTGTCTGGAATGTTCCTCAATATTGCATTAAAACTACCTATCTTAATGGGCAGAAGCGGGTGACAGATCCCTCCACAAGAAAATATACATAGGATATATTTAATTACAAACAGAGAGATGTACAGAATGATAATACAGCAAATAAAAATATTCAGATCTGTAGATGTGCATGCACAATAAAAATATAAGATTTAAAAAAATATATTCAGTACAAGAGGTTGAGTAAGGGAGCAAGTATTTATTGCACCAAGGCCTCGTAAGGACGTATTATACAGAATAAAGTATTGTGTTATTGTGAATGTTTGAGACTGAATGTGAGATTGTGATTATGCTTAGCAACATCTCTACTTGTAAAACAAAAAAAATATTTGTTTGTTGAAGATAAACATATTCGTAAATAAAAGCTCCACAGTCTAGCACATTGAAGCATGCATGGTTACAAAATATGAAATTATTATCATTACCATCACACCAGGACATCTTGTTAATGCAGCTTTGAAATGCATGTTCTCAGCTAGTTAGCATAGAGTATCTTAGCAACAAGGTGTCAATCACAACATCACGTCCTCCTATCATACGAGATAAAAGATAATTGGCTTCGGTGTTTCCTTCAGTTTTTTATCCTTTACTGAAATTGGTAATAAAATTGTACAGCCCAAGCAACCATAAACAAATACTGGCCTTTGTTGATTATATGGTTGTCAATAATAAGAACCATAGTCTTCTTCCACATGCTCAGACTGCAGGGACATGAGAGACACGTTTTGACCTGGGAGTATGACCTTTGTAACACTGACTTATGTCTGGTTGTGACTGAGATTTACAGTTCTTATAGTCTTTTTGGTTTACGGTCATTATATACGGACCCAAGATGTCTTCTCAGCTAGGGCACTGTGTAACTTCTAAGGTGGAAGGTCTGCTACTTGCTTTACCTGGAATTTTTCAAAGTAGGGTATTAAACATTTATCAATTGTAGGTGTTTTATAGATCAAATACCAGATCAAATACCTTAAAAACATCAATTCTTACCATGTGCAGGCTTGCTTCTTCATAGATCTGGCCATTAACCTGTGTCCATTGTGATTACCAAGTTTATTTCCATATTGTAGAATTATCAAGGCAAAACAGTAATATTTCCATGGAGATAAGCAGGTGCCGGCAACACGTGGCAGCCGCACCACCAGAAAAGTTACACAGTGCTCCTTTAATCTACCAAAAAAATACTAAATCTTCAGATAACTCACTCACCTCTCCTTTCTGTTGTTGTTGCATATAAATTCTTATAGTCCAAAATAAGTCGACTAATATAAATGTTGGTCAACTAAGGGAACACCAACCAACCAGTTGACTAAACTACTAAAAGCTTATTTATTTACCCTATTCTGAACACAATATATTTCTGCGTCACAGGATCTTGAAAGAATGATAACATTTAGATATAAAATGCTTGATGTTTCCTGTGAAAGACATATTCAAGACCTCATGTTGTGAGCTTGTCTGTTTTGATCATTATGTTGTGCCTGAACTTGATGTATGATTTTTGTATAGAAATAGTTGTTGTTTTTCTGTTACTTCTGTTACATGTTAGTCTTTCAGTAGTTTTTATTGCACTTTTTGGTGTTCAGCATTTTATTTTATTTGAAAGAGACCTCATGTTCATGAAGGGCACTGAATCTTCAATTGTTTAAATGTTCAATTGGCAACTATAGCATTCAATATTATACATATAACAATGAATGCCAAATAGGGGTGACATGGTGACACAATACAGACATTAACACATATTAGTAAACACTGTCAAAAACAGCACATTTTCAGTAGCCTGTTATCAATACAGGTTTTGATTTTCAACAAAAAGGTGAGAGTGACAAACTGAAAAACTGTGAATACTAGCTAGTTTATGACTGTAATTTTATTTGTGAGAAACTTGTTTAGCAGCAGAAATTAGCTCATCTGTTGTAGTTCCACCTTAGTCAGTGCTTTAGCCCAGATTAAAGCATCAATAATTGACTTCAAGACTCTAAACACCATGTGAGCCACCCCCCTTAGCCCTGCACTGTTTGTGTTATGCATTCATTCAAACTAAAACAGAGAGATTCATATTTGCTTTTCCTGACCTCCGTTTCATCTCCATGTCTTCCCTGTTGTTCTATGTTGCTTGTCTCTCCTCTTTTTCAGAATCTCTCTCTCTCTTTCCTCTCTCCTCCTCTACCTTGAGCGCCAGTGTCAGCATTTCTTCCATAACCCTGTTCTGTGTTGCTGTATGAATAAATCTGGGTTCGTTTGACTCTGTGTCACCCCCTCTTCTGCTCCGCACCCTGGGACCAGAGCTGTGGAGTCAGGCTTTAGTTTGGAGGGAAAACGTGTGATAGGAACATGGCTCTCAGGGGTTCACTAAGACATGTGAATAAAGTGTCAGACAGAAACTCACCTCATTGTTTTATAACCCCATCAAATGATTTTGGAAAGCTGCCATTACAATTACCCAGTGGTGGATGAAGTACTCCATTTTGCTACTTAGGTGAAAGTACAGATACCAGAAAAGAAAAAGGAAAAGTATCACGTGAAAAAAATCTACTTAAGTAAAAGTATCAAAGTATCCTTTTTAAAATGTACTTCAAGTAAAAAGTAAAACTATTTCACACATATTTGATATGTAATAAGGCTTCAAATTTAAAGATTTAATGATTTGTGCTCAATTTTGTTCAGTAGAAACTTTTTTTAAATTTTTATTCTAGCCTTTTTTATTAAGTTATTTTTGTTTGCTTAAACTATGAACATGCTAAAAACAAACCCCTCAGGATTTTCAGCAGGTCTCACACAACAATACAAAGTACTTTAAATAATTAAAAATATTTACAAAAATGTAGTGAAGTAGAAAGTACAGATACCTGCTCTCAAATGTAGTGAAGTAAAAGTAAAATGTATCCATTTTAAAATGTGCTTAAGTAAAGTACAGATACCTACATTTTTTACTTACAGTACAGTAACTTTACTACTTTTATTTTGTTACGGTCGACCACTGCAATTACCAGCGAGTACACACAAACCGGAGTGCTTTACTGACTATACTGCTTAATTACCAGAAATATATATTATTTATCAATTATTTGAATCACCATGGGAATCACAATTATTTGCACAGACAGAGCATGGTGTATCAGTGTGCTTATAATTAAGAACAGGTACAATTAAAGAAGGAAACAGATGGTGCACAAAATTGGCTACTGTGAAAATGTTCTACAAGTTGATTACGTGTGTGTAATCACTGGATGTAATACCAAGGATTACTGCACACTGCATACTGCTTTCTCTATACTAATAATGTACCATCGTAGTCAAGGTTCCTGGAACTGAAGCTAACTTGGTCACAGTGAATGGTTAATTTGTTCCTATAGATGATCTCTTTCTGTTGGCAAACCTTGACAATAATACAATTAATTATAGATTTTCTGACTCATAAGCGAAGTGGCAAATACATTTCCACAGTTTTACTGGTCATGTATATTTCAGGAAACACTCAGTTACACAAAGCATGATGTATGATGTAATCTTTTGTAAAACTGTCAAAAAACATGGCCTTTATTTTGAAACATGAACTAATCTCTTTACTATAACCAGGCCTGCATCAAATCACATTAGTACTAACAACTGTACAAACTCTAATCAGGAGCAGAATCTAACCTCTCTTGCCTTCCCCCGCAGATGCAGATCCTGGACAAGTTCCCAATTGAGGGAGGGCAGAAAGACCCTAAGAAGAGGATCATCCCTTTTCTCCCAGGTAACACTCTGCTCCCCTCCACTTTATCCGAATAGACGACCACATTAATAATTCATGTCTGGCACTCTCGGGGCGTCAATATGAGCTGGATACTGTATGTGTGTGTATAGATCGACCGGGTGTACCATGTTTCTGCTGACTCTGGGAATTTCAATCCTGACAGTACTGTATATTCTGATGTGATATTTTGGGAGGTTTTTGAATGAAAGACACATTCTGAGCATAACAAGAAATGGTATGGTTTGTTTACACTGCTTCGAAGTGGGGCTTACTTGTCTTGTGGGTTTTGTCTTGCTACAAATTAGTCCTCAAAGTTTTTATGACAAAACACAATGGCTCATGTTACCTTACCAAATTAAAGGTTATAGTATTTCTTCTTAATCTGTCACTCCAAAGTTTAGTGCTGATGTAGACTTGGTTTGGTCCTGTTCTTGTCCTAGTCCATTCCATGTTATAATGTGATGTGCAATTGAAAAATATTTGAAAAAGTCCTGATTTATATGCATTTTAGAGTCAGTATTTATTTTGTGTATATTTTTTTTTTTTGCTCTAGTGGGAAATTTTTGTTATTTTTTGGAAATGTGATAAGATTTAAGCCCTAAAAGGTCTTCTATGGGTCATTAGAGATACAAACTAAATACTAGTTTTTGATTCTGCTGTTTATTATTACATCTCATTGTTTTTTTAACAATATTGTACATTTAGATTAGTTTTTGTGGTTTAAATCTACTCTAGGTTGATTGTGTCATAAATTAGTTTCAGTATTATCGTTTATTGTCTATATTTTCTTCAGCAGTATATCAAACTTCAAAATTTGTTATCATGACATGTATAATTTTCACACCACTGAGTCATGGTTTGCCTTTGTTAGATGTTGTTTTGACAGTACATTTTCACCATTACAAATCACATTATTTAATCAGCTACTAGCAAGTTCATAGTTGTGAATTTTGCTCAGTGGCAGTGCTAATAAAACTACTCTGATCCTGTAGTCATGTGTGTGTTAGCCATGTGACTCTCTGGTTGTAGGCGACCCTTACGAACAGGAGACTCAAATCGATCGCAATGTTTGTGGAGTTCAGAGTTCAGGGCAGAGGAGCAGACAGACTCTGCTAATAGAACACATCACACAGTATAACTGGGATTCACAAGGTCCTTCACGATTCAATACATTACACAATACATGGCTCAAGATACAACCATGTCACAGTTTCAGTATAGAGTACTAGTTTGTAAAAACTAAATACATTTTGACATCTGTATTTCTTTGTTAAACCACTACCTGCACAAATTTAAATACCTCTATCAACAATCAAAAACAGTGAATATGTCAAATGTATTGCATAAAAAAAGTTTCTTACAAAATTGTACCAAAAAACTACTCTTGGTGATAGGGATGGGCATGATTAATCGATTAATCGATAATTGATCATTAAGAATTTCATCGATTACGTTAATTTTAATCGACAAACCGAATGTAGGTTGCTGTGCGTAGCGTGACCAAACAGGGGTCCGTACATGTGTCTCTCTGCACTCAGAAGGAGCGAGCAAACACAAACAGTCGGTCAGTCTGCAGCGTACCGAAGCACAAATGCGTATTTAACGATAATTTGTACAAGAAATTCCACTCTTTCCGTTGCGTTCGGGACAAGTGTGACTCCATGTGCACAGTGTACAAAGCAGGAACATATGTTTCAGTGTCCAGTGGGAAAAAGCTTTACCAGGTGAGAGTCGCGCAATGTCGATGACGAGTCCCCACCTCCCACCCCCCGTACGGTGTCCTGGTTTTGACAAACACAAATATGGTCACACTAACCTGTATTCCACTGAATCATGTCTTTTAATCCGACAGAAGTTGACCGCATCAGCGACACAAGAGCTGTAGTTTTATCTTCACTGAGTTTATGCAAATTAGCGATGCGGTTTTAAGTTTCGTTTCTGTGAGAAACTGAATTAAACACATTATAATGTCAAACGGATTGATGTGGCTCTAGAGTGGTTACGGTTTATATGTCGTAAAGTTGAATTTATTTATGCAGATTAGTAGTGCAGATAGTAATAATAATGATGATCATTTTAATATTAAAAGGTTAATGATTAATCGATAATCGATCGTTAATTCTTCCGACGATCGATTAAGAAAATTTCATCGAATGCCCATCCCTACTTGGTGATATAGCAACACAGCAGCCCATGATAACAATACTGTATCACCAACTTTTGTATCACAATGTATTGATATTTTCAGTTTAGTTTAAGATTAATCTATGGAATTTCAATAGTCTATTAATAATAAAGTGGCTGTACACATTTTTTTCCCATGCAGTTGAGCAAAATCTGTCTGCTTTCTGCCTGCTCCATGGAAATTTTATTGCTTTTCCCAAAACGTTCCAAAGTATGGCATCGTACTCTTCTCTGTGGAGAACAGCAGGATCATTACAGACCACATCTCTGGAGAGGCAAGCTTGCTAAAATGAAGAATACATGACAAGAGAAATGTGTGTCTTTTAATATTAACATAAATGTTGGTAGATGCGATGTGCTGCCCTATGTTTAATGCAGGAAATTCCATCTTCTCCTGTTCTGGGAGTTTTCTCATTGGCACTCAACACAACAAACTGCTTTGACAGTCAACCAAAAACTCCCTGGTTACACTGAAGCATGTAGTACTTTTCCATGTGGTTCTATACAATAGTTGCAAATCTTACAAGGAAAGAAAAGCAACAAGCCATTTAAGTTAATTTAATTGTCAGCCGTGATCTTGTGGCTGCTGTTGTCCTTCCAGTATGTTAATAGGATGCAGTTGTAAAGATTGTAGCTTTGTTATTTTTCATTAAGCCCAACTACTAAATCTTCTTACTACTGCAGAGTGCTTTGATTATGAATTTGACTCATACTACAACTCATTATCTTATATTATTTGTTTACCAAATGTCCTTTTTATTGTTTATTGCTTTCCGGTAGCTAGTGCTTCATTTTGTAATTAAGTGGCTCATTTGAATATCAGATACTGTCCAAGTCTGTCCCAATCACAGATAGTCTCTAAAAGATCAGTATATCTGTTCAATATTTTCACTTCGATATTATCGGTTTTGATATTTAAGTATATCAGGTATGCGCCTTGAACATTGGTCGATCATAATATTTTCAATGAAAGACTTGAAATTGCCCTGTATTTCATTCTGGTCTGTTGATTTACCTATTGATAAAAACAAGACAGTTAATACATGCAACTTTGATGGAGCATGTCCATAGTATGGTTTATATAATTAAGAAGGGTTAAGGTTGGGCGCTACGATACAAAAACTATTAATCAATCCCCCAAGTTCAAACTCCTCTTGAGACACAAGCTGATCACTGACATGTAGAAATGACTGTATCGTAAATCAAATTAAAGAACTGATTAAAGGGCGCATCTGTTACGCTATTTTCTGATCTGTGTAATAATGTTGTTTCCTCATCAAAAACATTCCCGGAGTTGTGTTTTGGTTCATCCACACGTTTAACACACAGACTCTGATCATTTCGGCTGAGTTCTTCTCTCATTCAGAAAACACTCCACCTTGTGATGTCATTTGGTAATACAGAAAGTGCTCCACTGTTTTTAAACTCTATACAAAGTCGCTAGAATCATTTGTATAATTTTGTTCCATTTTAACAAAAGGTTAAAAAAAAAACAGCATTTGAGTTTGGGGGATACAGACAGCCCAATAATCCAGCATTACTCAAACATGTATGACTAAAACAAAACACAACCTGGGTATGTTTTCGATGGGGTCACAGTATTATAACACGGCTTAGTCAATTTTGCGTAATATAGCAACTTTAATTGCCCTGCACTAGAAAATTATGTATTGTAATAATTTGCCATGTGGGATTTTTGTATTAATACATCTATTCTTCATACTCGTTAGTAGCACATCGAATAATCAAAGCTCTGTGACAACTTGTTTATCACTTGAGATTGGAAATAGAAAGCTTAGCATGTGCACATGTTGTCTGCTGGTGGGGGGCTGGGAGCAAGGGGCTACAGTCTACAATGTGTGGGCTCTGTGCAGTGAAATCCTATTTGTTATTTAGAAAGCCATGTCACCACAGAGGTCAGAGGATCTATAGGGGAACAGCTGGGGCCTTGTGTAGAACTGAGACGCTTATGTGCTGTGGGTGGTGTGCATTACTGACATCTGCTGGAGGCTTTGGATCCTAGATTGATACTGTCGCATGAGTTTTGAATGAGAATGATGTTGAGATTATTGGGTTAAGTTATACTCGTGATTATTTGTGACAGTTTTTGAATAATAACAAAGTACTTTCAATCTAGCAATAACACCTAAAGGTACATCTAAAGGTAAAGTGTTTTATATCTAGCTGTTTACAATATTCCATAGTTGGTTACATATTATAAGAAATCTGTCATTGTAAAAATGGCATAAATGTGTTGGACATGGTTAAAGGTGCACTCTGTAACTTGTCTGGTGGAGGGTCCGCCACCTGCTTGATGCATGGAGATGTGCCTAGAATGTTCCACAGTATGGCCATAAACTATGAATCTCTATGAATGGAGAATTGCAGGTGATGCCACCAGGCAAAATTACAGGTTAGATTTGTGGAGACTGGGTAAGACTAACAGTAAGAATGCATGTTTTTTTGAAGTTTTAATATTTCTGAGCAATAAAAAAAAACACCTGTAGGTGAATAAATGCAAAACAGATTATTTTAATTCCAATTTAAAACAAAGCAATAACATCTCCATGGAGACAAACATGTTCTGAACCCCTTCCAGAAAAGTTACACAATGCACTTTTGATGACAATACATATATACATTGAAAAATACTTTGATTTGCTTATCTTCGGCTACAATTTTCTTTTGTCATGGGTGACTGAGGGATTACAAAGACTTCAGCTCCACTTGTTAAAACCCATGTCTTATTTTCTTCAGGCAAAATCTTGTTTCGGAGGAGCCATGTTCGAGACGTGGCCATGAAGAGGTTGCGCTTCATTGACGACTATTGCAGGGTAAGATACATGTAAACATACTCTACTCTAGATATATGACTCTATTGGGATGGTCCCAGTCTGTGATGGGTCATAGGTCATACACTTTCCCACCATTTTGTATGCTTCAGACATGATTTGTGAAGATTGGATGAGTGGTACTGACTTATTTTGTTAGGAGAAACACTCACTCAAACTGTTTTATCTTGATTTAGCTAAAGTGTTTTGCTGAACTGAAAATTCAAGTCAAAAATACTATATATTTTTATATAGATTGAGTTTCAAGTATTCTTGTTTGTATGTGTTTTGTTGCTCATTTAAACGGACAGTTATTCATAACCTAAAAGAACTCAACATAATTGTGAGAACAGTATTATACAGAGTGCATTGTCAGATGTCTGTGCTTTATCAATTTAGTTGCCATTCTGTTCGGTTTGGCAGCAGCAGTTTTGGGGTCAAAACAGTGTTATCAGGTCAACTGAATTTTGTTCTTTCTTTTTCTTTTTGTAGTTTTGCAATTTTTCTTTGTGTTATTTTATTTATTTGAACAGGGACTTTGCATAATAATCAACACTGAAGGTCCTATATTACATGAAATAGACTGTTTTAGATATTTTATAATGTTGCTACTTCATCAGAAACATACCTGGAGTTGTGTTTTGTTTCATTCACACATATTTGAGTGACCCTGCCATATTAGTCTGTCTATATCTTCAAAGCTCAAAATGCTCTGTTCCACATTGTGATGTCATGAAGTGGTAGTTTGCAAGTTAACAGCTACCTTTATCATTTTTTTAGTGGAGACTGACAATTCCAGAGCTGAAATTATCCATATGATTCTAGTGATGGTGTATGGAGTTTAGAAACAAAGTAGAGCAACTCCTGCTTTACCACATGACATCACAAGGTGGAGCAGAGTGTTTTCAATTTGAGAGATTAGAACTCAGGCCAAATACGCAGGATCTTTGTGTTAAACATATGCGAATGAAACAAAACACAATTCCAGGTATGTTTTTTGATAAGGAAACAACATTATAACATAGATTAGAAAATTGCATAATATGGGCCCTTTAAACGATATAAACGTGCCCAATTTTGTCTACATCATCTATTTTGAAATGTATTTAAAATTTTCTCAACTGCTGTATATTTTTAAATCCTTGGTAGTTCCTTTGTAAGTGCCTGCTGACTGACCTAGTTACGTTTCCAAATTATAACCACTCAAATTCTTCACCGCAAATCGCTTGCTCCCAATAGCTGTCCAAAAACTCCAAAAACTAAAGCTGGAATCTCTTGTCATCACATTTCCTGTTTCCTTGGTTGTTTTATTTATTCCTAAATCAAATCCAGCCCTCCCCATTTCCTTCCTTCCTTCTTGTACATGGTCGAACTGGATACATTTTTCATATTTTTCTCCCTATACACACTATTAGGCAGAGGCACAGTTGGCCCACATTAGCAAAGGTTACATACTGTACCAGCCTTGTAATTGGGACCAAAACATTTCAAAAAGTCTCAAGGCAATTACCCACACATCTGAAATGTACGGGCTAAAGTGACTCCTCATTACCCAAATAACCTAAGGCAGTTTCATGTTTGGAGTCGTTATAGAAAGCTTGTTTTTAGCTGAAGACTGGAGTGTGCGATTGTGTTTACTTCCGACATCCTGTTTATGAAGTGAACAAAGAGACAAGCGTAATAAGTATTTCTCGGAGGAAAAGCTCTTGGAAGATAGAGTTGTCCAGCCAGATGTTGGTATACCAGTAGACACATTATTCTCATCCACTACTGAGTTAAGACCCAAGCAGTTGTCAAAATGTATTCACAGATATAGAGTTGAGCAGATTATCAACATTTTGAACAGTGGTGGAAGAACTATTCAGATTTGTTGCTTAAGCAAAGTACAGATACTAGAGCAAAGACATACTAGAGTAAAAGTAAAAGTATCACATGAAAAAATCCACTTAAGTAAAAGTACTAAAGTACCCATTTAAGAATGTATTTAAGAGTAAAAAGTAAAAGTATTACCCACAGATCTAATAAAACGGATGTTTTATTAGATCTGTGGGTAATACTTTTACTTGTACTGATGTACTGATTTTGATACAAATTTGTGCTGAATTTTGTTCAACAGAAACAACTAAATTGGTTGTTTTTTCCTGTTTTTATTTGTATATTTTTGTTAGCTCAAACAACAAATGTGTTAAAAATAAACCCTCAAACTTTTCAGCTGGTCTGAAACACTGATTAAAATACTTGTAATTTTCAGTCCAGTTAAAAAATGTAGTGAAGTAGAAAGTACAGATAAATTCTCTCAAATGTAGTGAAGTGAAAGTAAAAACTATCCACTTTAAAATTAACTTAAATAAAGTACAGATACCTAAAATTTATACTTAAGTACTACTTTTATTTTGTTATGGTCCACCATTGGTTTTACAAATATGGAAAATTGAATATAGCATATACTTTGCAATAAAAATCCTGCAAAAAGAGGTCATCAAAATGATAATTGTGGGTAATTTTAGACTTACCTGAAGCTTAAATCTTAAAGGTGCAATGTGCATTTAAACATATACATCTAGCATTTATTCATCACAGGCATTTCTGTTGGTCAAAAATACAATAATTCCTTCTATGAATGAGGGCAACTCTCCACAGATTTGAATTATAATGTAGCATGGTGCTGTAACCTGCTTTGTCTCCAACATGATAGATTTGGTTTAATCTGTGCAGTGGAACAATGTAGACAAAGCAATAAAATCTCCATGGAGACATCAGGTTGCCGACTCTCCAGCAGAAATGTTACACAGTGCACCTCTAATTTATAAGTTAAAATACATGTTTTAGCAAATTGAATTGACATAATTTTGCCCAAAAATCAAAATTAGTCCCCTTTAGTTCAAAGACATGCTTATATTAGTGACTATGTGAAACCAAATTAGCCCTGACTCCTTGTCCCACTTTAGACCCATAGTTGCTGCGACTGTCTCTAAGCACCTGCATCCTCTTTTACTAATAACCAGATCAATGAATGAGAAGAGAGAGAAGACAGGAAGTGCAATTATCCAATTTTGAGGAAATGAGGATGTCCAGACAGCTGTTGGTTCACTGCTGAAAACCATTCTTTCAGTAATATCTGGCTCGAACTTTTCTATGGGGACTGAGTGCATAAAGTATGAGCTGGTTTAAAAAGCTGCTCTGTACATGTGTAGTTTAGTCACATATCTTCACCTTGGCTACATACGTGGCCCCTTTGATGCTTGCTGCTAGCATCATTAAATATACATGACCAGTCAGACATAGGACGCTGTAATGTGGTTGAGAATATAAAGAGGGAACAATGGGCAAAGACTGTGGTCAAGAACGAAGAGATTTATACATTTAATATGAATAACAATATGAGTGAGAGTTTAGGAGAATTTATGATTTTATATTGTGAGAGTCTATATGTCAAGATTTTATTGTTAATTAACTATACAGATCATAATAACATAACAAAAAAGAAAAGAAACTTGAATTCAGCTTTTTTCCATGTTATAATGTTGTCTCCACTCAACCTGTTCCCTCTCAAATATGCATGTAGAGCTTTTAGATGTCATCCATGCATGTTTCAGTAATTTAGAGATCCCTCCCACGCTGCAAGCCTATGTACACAACAGTTTGACAAACCGTGCAGTAGTTTCATTAGCGGGATGGTCTTTGATTGCGTTGTGATAGCACTAATGAAGGGGGAGCAAAGGAGAGTTGTCCAAAAGCACGTTTTTACGGCACAGAGCAGTGACCTCTAGAACCTGCTCTTGTTGACTGGTTTGAGTTTCTTCTCACAAATTCCTTTAGATGAGGTGAAGCGCGATTGTTACAAACTTTGTATACCAAAATTATATCGGCGTATTTGATTGTATTGTCCCAATTCATTCATTTGTACCGGTATTTCTTCTAATAATAATCATAACACTAAAATGAGACTGACTTCAGAGAGATGAGAATTTTGCTCTGATGTCACAACAATAAGTATTTTAAAAGAAAAAAAATATCACACACAAATATTAAATATTAAATGTTTGAGTGCATATTATTATTATTATTATTATTATTATTATTATTATTATTATTATTATTATTATTATTATGAGCTGGTTCATTGTAATTTATTATATGTCAGCTGACTGTATGGCCGCCCTTTGACCCTGTGGTTTCCATGTGTGCAGGCCCTGGTCAGACTTCCTCCTCAGATTTCTCAGAGTGAGGAGGTGCTGCGCTTTTTCGAGACCAAGGCCGAGGATGTCAACCCCCCCGTGGAGTGAGTATCATGTCCAGATACACGTGTCTCTGTAAAACCATTCACTCTTTCTTCACATTGACCATGGAGCTCAGTAGTTATGGGGCATGACTGGTTAGGGAAGTAAGAGTACTGCTCTTTTTCCCTATAGACTTTTTGAAATGAAAAGTTGAATTCATATTATATTTGAAAGTTATGACTATTAAGTCATGTGGTAAAATCTCGTTAACATAAAGCCTAACCTACACATTTGCTAAGTTAAAGGAACTCAGTGTAGGATTTCGATTTTAAATTTCAAAAACATGACCTATCAGTGTTGCCAGATACAAGGTAGGCATGTTCAAATTAAACCGAAGTTCTAACGCAGGAGAAGCTTATTGATCATCAGGGACCCCGGAGACTTGAACCAGACATTGTGGTTGTATTGTCCAGTCTAGTGCAGTCTAGTCTGCCTATGCTTCTGTTGTAGTGTACCTCTAATGGCATGGCCAAGACGACAAGGTCTGAACTGGCTGTGAGTACAGCACAGAAATTTTCCTAACAGTTGTAATACTGATTTATTTTTAATTCTAAAAAAAAAAAAAAAATGCCACGGTGACCTTGTTGTTTATGTTATAGTTGTTGCTTATACAGTACAATTGGCCCAGCCAGCCTGACCAGAAATCAGCCTCAGTTGTGATTGTAGGACCTTTAAAAACTCTTAACTTGTTATTAATTAGAAATTATTAAGGCATTTTTTCTTCCAGAACCTTCCAGAAAGTTCTCAGGCCTTAGTGAGCTCTACTGCAGTGAACACATTTATGTTACATTGTATCCTTAATGCAAAGCTGATTTATGGCATCTCCTGCTGTATGTAAAGATTAATGATGGCACAGCTGCACCCTTCTCTGTCTTAATCACAATGTGTAAATCTTCTTGTTCCGGTTGTTAAAATGTTCCAGCACATAGATAGAAGATGAGATGTTGATTGAAATCACACCTGATTGTGTTCAGAATCAAACATAAATTTTTGGGTTAGATGATTTCCTCCTGTGAATTTGATAGTGATTTGTCATCTGTCAGGGTTTCTGTCTTGTGAATAATATTATGTCCTGCCTAAGGCCCCTGTATTGCTCAGATATTGCCAAGAAAGGTTTCAGGCTCAAAAATGAATCAAATAAGATGAAAAAATGCAGACGTTCATGTTGACCAATATAGAGATGGGGTAAGGCGATATGTCATTCTACAGTCTGCAATTTTTAGCTCAATCATTGTTTAGTAGTTGTTGTAATTTCACCAACACAAAACTGAAACCATACATTTACACTGTCATTTATGATGTATTCATTTCATTTAAATGATGACTACCTTAATAATATGGCTAGGCTATGTAAAAATAACATGATAGCGATTATTTTCTCCCTCCCACAACCCCTTGATCTCCAGTGAGACAAATTTAACTATTTCTACTACTAGTTCTACTACTGCTTCTATGTCTACTACTACTACTATTACCACTTATACAGTACACATTGTTGACTATACTGCTGCCAAATAGCCTCGTAAGACTTCGTTCCGGTTCATACTGTAAAATGGGCCCTCTGATTATGCCCTTCTTTCTATACAACTTAATGGACTTGCCTAATTGTACAGGCTACATGCTCATTACTTTTCTCTTGTCTATTCCCTATTCAGAATCCTCTCTGTATTGGGTTGAGGTTTCCATGCGGGTGGTACTGGGCTGTGGTGCCTGTGTTGGGGGGGCTTGATGGATACGGGGTAGGTGGAGAGGAGCGCTTCATCTCATATGAGATAGGCCCTTTGGGTAGTTTTTAATTAGAGAACACAATCTGCTGTGCGAGCCTCAAATGCCAGTATCTGCGTGTTCATTTGTTATGTGTTCCTGTATTCGTCCAGACAGCCGGCCCCCAGGAGCTGCTTTTACCTCCTGCAAGAATCAATTTCTCCCTTCAATATTTCACTTTTCAATACTCTTGTTGATTCAGATCCTTCTTGGTGGGTAGTGCTCCAGTTAATGATACTTGATACTTTTGAAATACAGTATCTATCACAACCAATGTAGGATTACCATGGTGTATACCGATTTATTTAGGTTTTGATTTTTATTTTGATTGGTTTTTATTGTATGAAATAGCAGTACAGTCAAGTACTATTCATTGTACTGCAAAGTGCTCTGTGAGTAGAGATTAAGAAAGTATACATGTACCCATTGTAAATTTTTAAACCATTGTCTGTACCAAAGGCGCTGGACCAGATTTTCAGACTTAAAAATGTGAAAAACAGAACCAGTTAAGTTTAGTTATTAGTCTCTTTCCTAACGCATTCAGTTATTAATCACGGTGACTTTATGAGCATGTTTTCACAAAAGAGTTCTTCTGTCACAGTAATGCTAACAAGTGGCATACTAACAGCACACCACCATGATGCCATCCTGACTTGGGTTACCATATTTAAAAAATTAAAAACTGGAACACACCCAGCGGGTTGGGATGTTTAGTATAAATAAAATTGTGAAAAAATTGTGTAACATTGTTCATTCTTGTGTCAGTCATAATCTGAGGCACTTCTGTTAGTGCATTTTTTGACTTTTGGTCATTTTCAAGTATTGTTTTCTGTATCTTATATAAACAAATGACGATATATTCCCCTTTTGTATCATATTGGTCAAAAATGGGGACACCTGGCACACTGATACATCTGCCATAATTGTAACTTGACCTTCTATTTTACTTGTACGTGAGTCTTTATTCAAAGATGACCACTTTTTATCTAGTCAGTGTATTAATACTTGTTTACTTTGGAAAAAAAAAAAAAAAAAAAGATAAAAAATAATGACTTCAGGATTACTTCTCTCCCCTCTGTATATTTTTGCAGTCACACCTCCTCTGAACATAGGATTTAGTGGCGTGAGCCTGACAGTATTTCTCAGCACACTATAATTGCCGTCTCCCTCTTTCATAAAACCCACTCCTTCCTTTTTAATCCTCGGCATCTCACTTTGCATCATAAATATCAAGTGTATTTAATTGGCGAGACAGCTCAAGGTTACAAACACCGACGCGATCATTCTTTTGATCAACGGCTCTAGCTTTTTCTCGTCTGCCATTCCATCACGCCTGAGTGCTCCCCTTTTCCCATCATGCACTGCTTTCTAAATGTCTTATATTATGCTAAATTGCCATTCTGCAGCTTTGAACCAAGTTATAATTCTGTTCCCTCATTAAAACATACCTAGATTTTTTTTTTTTTTTTTTCACCACGTTTGAGTGCTCCTTAATTTTATGTGTGTTGAAAAGAGGCGCATGACCAATGTGTTTTGAATGTTGAACTCACTTGCATGCCCTTAAAGGTGCACTATGTAACTTTTTGGTTGGGGGTCTTTCACCTGCTTTGCTCTGCCTGGAATGTTCCACAGTATGACTTTAAACAGCTCTATTCATTTGTTAAATTCCAGATGGTTTTACTGCTCAAAAATAGGCATTCTGACTTTGAACATGGTCGCCTCTCCACAGACCTGTAACTTAGTCTAGTTTGGTTTCCTCGGAGATAGAAAGGTTTAATGGTAAATGGTCACATTTTTCTTTTTTTTATTTTCTTTTTTTTTTTTTTTTTATTTAAGAAAATAGGGACAAAACACATTAATGAACATATACATGATATGTAAATATGTTATCAGATTATAGCCCAAGGCTAATTTCCATCTGCTGTCCCTAGGCAGGTTGATGTAATCATAAAACAAAATCACAGTAAAAACAATACAATAATACAAATAGACAGACACAAAGAGCTGGTCAGTCACAAGATCACAGACACAGGTCAAGCAAAGGATGTTGGATTTGATCAAAATTGCACGCTGCCTTTCTATAGCGCTTTTCCACCTTCAAGGCACTCAAAGTGCTTTACAACAAGAACCACTCACCCATTCACACACACATTCATACACCAGTGTACGCAGACACTGTGGGCAAGGTGGGTTAAGTGTCTTGCCCAAGGACACAATGACAACATTCATCTGTGGGAGCTGATATCACACCAGCCAACCTGTGGGTCAGTATATCTGACCGCTCAACCTGTGATGTTTATGTCGAGAGCTGGATTCAAACCATCAACCTTCAGATCAGTAGGCGAATGCTCTACCAACTGAGCTACTGCCATAGTAATAATTAATACCATACTGTGAAACATTCGAGAAAAAGCAACAACATCTCCATGAAGAAAAGCATTTGACGGACCCTCCACCAGAAAAGTTACACAATGCACCTTTGAAATAAATACAATGACCAATTCCAATACTATGGCTTTAAGTATTCATTATGGAGTTGTCATTTATCTCTCAAGTAACGACAGTAAAATGTATAATAATTACAGTTTTAATTATAAAGTCTTATTATATCACTTTATGTGTCCTAACATATCATCTGAACTGATATTTGGTGCAGATATTCGATCCAGCATCGATACCAGTGTTGGATCAGTGCATCTCTGATAATTACTATATTTTTATCTTTCAATATATAAATATTGGAACAATATTTTTGGGCTCAGTATTTATCATCTGTTTTTTTTTTTTTTCTTTGCACACTGTAAGGGTTTGATTATTTTATGGCTGTATGATAAGATTTTAGCTGTAATGACTCAGATACGTACTAAGAACTAAAATGTTTCATTCTGATATTTTTTTATTGCAGCTCATGAGTTTGTTTTTGTTTTTTGTTTTCTTTACAGACTATTGCATGTTTAGATTAGTTTTTGTGGTTTAAATCTGCTTTTGGGTTATTGTGTCAGTGGCATCAGTTTTATCGTTTATCGTCTATATTTACCTTAGAAATGTATTACAATTCAAAATTTGTTACCCTACAGTATCTCTCAAAACGTTCCTACTGCCTTATTTTGGTTTGGTTTTGGTTTTCCATTAAGGTTCTAGTCTGCTTATTGTTCTTGTACCTTTTGCATTTTGTATATTCATAATGTCACAAGGAAGGTAAAAATAACTAATTCTAATATTTAAAGGTGCATTGTAA